ATCATTTGGTACAATACGACAGCGCGCCCGGACTATATAACATTGAATGAATCAATGAATTGATTAACGTATAGAGCAACAAGAAGCAAAACTTACAATCTCAATGGTTTGCGAGCCCGATGATCATCTCCTCTCCACCTGTGCAATCATACCGTAAAACATCATAACGGAGTTGGAGATGGTGTAACACCCATTGGCAATGAGTTCATATTGTGTACATGGATCATGTGCAAGTCGTAGGGCATAAAGCGTTTTTGCTCCTGCAAGTAATAGGGCGCAGTGAGTTTTCTCATGAAACAAAGCATGTTGCACATTTTGCCAAAAGGTCAAGCCCCCTTGCCTTATGCATACAATGTCAGTAGATATGACCATCCACGCATTGCACAACAACTCATTCTCCATCACCGAGTATCCCACCATTGTGCTTACTCTAAAAATAACAAGAAGGTAAAGGCATCTCAATGACATTTGACCAAACACCAGTCAGACGTCCTATCCGGCATGGGTTTTTTCTTATGGATCTTGAATGTAGTAATCTTAACTTTAACATTGATGTTAAATGTCTTAAATTGAGTGATAAGACAAATGCCGCATATTATGGCACTGACGTCTTGGTCACATTGGAAAAAATGCGTGAAGAAACTACGTAGTGGTGAATTTTTTTAGTCTTTTGATTTTGAGTCATTTGACAATTTTATCTTGTCTGATGAGGTAAATGACTAAGACGTCGTTCACCGGTCATATAGAAGGCAAGTGACTTATTGAAAATCATACTGCTGATTTGTGCGGTCTAATGAGTGTATCGACGCACGATGGATTTCTCCACTTTGTAACTTTTACCGATGATTAAGTGAATATGGATATATTTGCTTAATGAGAAAGAAGTCTCAAAGTTTTGAGAAGTTTGAAGAATTTTATAGAGAACTAGAAAATCATCATACAAGAACATAAAATTCCTCCGGCCAGATGAGAATATTAGATTTACGTGTTTAGTGAGCATCTTAGAGATCCTGGAATTATTTCGTAACTTACACCACTTGAAACACCATAGATAAATGGTGTGGCTAAGAGAAGTAATGAAACCCTATTGGACATGGTTCGATCTATGATGTCATTAACCGAATTGTCACTATCTTTTTGGGGTAACTATAGAAATATTTTGCTTTAACAGTGAATAGAGCACCGTCCAAGCCTGTTGAAACGGCACCATATGAGATATGGAATGGGAAAAAACCCAACTTATCTTTTCTTAAAATTTGGGGATGCAATGCTTTTGTAGAACATTTACAACCAATTAAGCTCGATCCCAAATGTTAACTTCTAGGTTATCCCAAGGAAGTTATGTTTTCATCTAGGATCTTTTTAGTTGATGGTTATAGATTAATTCATGGATCATCCTCTACCAATTAGGTAAAATCATTTAAAATATATAGAATAAGAATGGATTACTAACATAAAAGAGATTCTAGATTAGCTCGGTACATGTAGTTATTTGATTGATCTAAGATGAAAAAGAGTCCAATTTTATTTCCTCTTTCCAATTTCCATTACGTGCTTCATTTAGTGTTCAAGGAAACAATGGGGTATTACTTCTACCACCAAACCGAAGGCAAAGTGTTCGTTGCGAAAACAGAGTATTTCTTAAGAAATAATTTCTCGCGAAAGAGGTGAGCAGGAGGACAGTATAATTTGACAAGATTATTGAATATTTGATGTCAGACCAAAGGACTGGGACGCCGGAAGACATTCCGGAGGTCACTCATGCGATTAAACAGAAAGCAACTACATGTGATGTAGAAACTTTTGGAAGACTATAGCTGAATGACATGAGACATGAATAAATCGTTCTTAACCTTTAAGGTATGAGGATGATTTTTTCTTGTTTGAAATGAAATCTTTTGTTAGAAAATGACGATCCTGCAAATTACAAAGAGGCAATGGCAGGCCCTGACTTCATAATGGCTCGAAGCCATGAAATCTGATTTACAAGCCATGTACAAAAATAAAGTTTGGAACTTGCTTGACCCTCTAGAGTGTGTGAGGCCAATTGAATATAAATATATCATAAGAAGAAAACAAACGTAGGTTGAAATATTTCCGTCTATAAAGCTCGACTTGTCACAAAATGGTTTTCGACAGGTTCAAAGAGTTGACTAGGATGAGACATTCTCGCCAGTAGTGGTGCGTAAGTTTGTACAGATTTCGCTAGCATTTGCTTCATATCTTGATTACGAGATATGACAGATGGATGGTTTTCCTTAATGAAGATTTATTGAGGGCGTGTATATGATACAACGCGAGAGTTTTTTTTGATCCAAGGATGTTGAAAGGTATGCAAACTTCAAAATATATCTATGGACTCAAGCAAGCATCAATGAGTTGGAATCTTATAGTTCTGATGAAGAGGTGAAACGGTTTGGCTTCATCAACAACAATGAAGAGGTTTGTGTTTAAAAGAAAGTAAGTGGGAGCGCTGAAAGCACATTTGCTCTGTTGGTGGTTTTGGTAATTTATGTCAACATACATGTTGTTGGACTACCTATCGATTAAGTATATTTCAGGAAAAGTTCAACCTAGGCAAATAGATGGTTGGAGATGTGGACCCTCAAGCTACTAAGGACACATGTTGGCAAAGCTTCAACATTCTACATTTTTGGGTTAAGTGATCAAAAATCACATTGAGTCCATAGGAAAGCCAATAATATTAAAGGGAATTAGGTTTGATCACGAATCATTTGCTCAAAGTGCTTAGAGATATTGCTTCAAAACACTCAGTCACACCCTCACATCCCTATCTGTCCTAAACCTTAAAGTCAAACTCGGTCCCACCGATACACATCTACCCGGACTCACCGAGATACACTTGATTAAGCCACTGCCTAAACCCTAGCAACTCGGTCTCACCCAGATGACATTTGGTCCTACCGAAGTGCGCTTGCCAACCTTTTGTAACCTATTGGTTTCATTTCGGAATTTCTGAGTGGTTTTAATCGGTGTCACCGAAGTATGGAAAGTTCTTAGGTAATCACCCATCGGTCCCTCTGAGCTGTGTCATCTGGTCTCACCGAAAAGCCTAATGTTCAAACCTTTTGCATTAATCGGTCTCATCGAGTGATTTCAGCCGGTCCCACCGAGTTGTGCATAAAAGGTGTGTAATGGTTAGATCTTTTATGCTGTCTATATATACCCCACCCATTCCATCAACTCTTAGAGAGAGCAACTAGGATGAAACTACCACTTCCCATATCCATTTTCTAAGAGAGAACCACCTACACTTGTGTTGAAATCAAGGGGATTCCACTCCAACCTTCGATCTTGATTTCTAGCCCCCTCAAGTTGCTTTCCACTCCAATCCTTCTCCTACTACCATGAAAAAACTGTGAGAGAGTGATTCAGTATTGAGGAGACTATCTTTTGAAGCACAAGCGCAAGGAGTTCCTCATCAACAACAACATTTATTACCTTTTGGAGAGTGATGTCTCCTAGGTTGGTTAGGTGTCATTTGAGAGTCTTCAAATCTTGTGGATTTGAGTCAAGGAGTTTGTACGGGCAAGAAGATCACCTACTTCGTGAAGATCTACCTCGAGTGAGGCTAGTCCTTCGTGGCGGAAGCCATGATGACATATACAAGGTTACTCTTCGTGGACCCTTCGTAGGTGGAGCCCTTTGTGGATTCGCGCAGTCTTTATCCTCCATGGATTGAAGTCTCCATCAATATGGACGTACGATAGCACCACGTACCGAAACCACGCCAAAAATCGCCGTGTTTTCATTGTGTTTGATTTTCAGAACTCTATCCCTTTACTTTCTTGCACTTGCATGTTGTTTACTACCTGTTGCCCACACTCTAGATATGCATCCGTAGATTGTATTGGTTGCCACTTAACTTTGCTAAAATTTGCCTAAGATTCAAGAAAATTAAAAACTGCACCTTTTACGTTGTTAGTGTCTATTCACTTTCCTCTAGATCTATATTCTTGACCCCTCAAGCGCGACTGCATTTCTTATACTATATGTTGATGACATAGGGGATTGACGTAAAATTTCACCACCATTTCTTAGGCACAGTGTAAATTTTGTTACTAAAGCAGTCATGTATAATGGTTTTATGCCTTTGGAAGCACAAGTAAAAGATCCACCACTACAAGGCAAACCTATGGTTAATTAGACATTATAATTTTATGTTTTGTTCTACTTTCATGGGTGTTGACATTGACAGGAATTCCAATATGGACAAGACATGCAATTCTATTTAGCATCATATTATTTCTCTCATGCCACTAGATGATCAACTTCTGAGGTTTGCTTTGTTATATTGTTGATTCTGCTAATGAGAAAACGAAACATAGAAGCGTTCCAACATTTTATTTTTTGATTTATATCATAAACCAAGCCAACGACGCATGCTCACACGGGCATTTACAAGCCGCGCCTATCTCCAGCTAGTTTAGGATAACCTTTTGCCAGGGGTATCCTTTTTTATTATTGATTTTTGAGGGGAGGGTACCCTTTTTGAAAGGACGCAAATACCTGGCGAACGATGGCCAACAGGACGCTTGTAGTGGCATTTTACAAAACTGCCATGACAACTTATTTAATTTACGTTTTTTTTCGAAAATTGTGATCCAGATCGGATAGCTTTGGGCCGTTCGCTGGAATCTCATCCCCCAGCGAACGTTCGCCAGATAGCTACACCGTTTCGTTCTGAAAACAGGTTTGCGTTTGTTTTGAGACATGAAAACAGATTTGCTGTCCGTCGGTGGCCAGTTCTGGGGCTCTAAAACAGAGACGTGGCCCTGTGCTGTCCTTGGGTTCCCGAATTAAAAGCTGTCTCTACCGGGCCAGCCACCTACCGCGGCCCAACAATCTCACCAACCGGAGCCTAGCAAACTTTCAACACGTTGGCCCGCTACGCTTCTCCTGTCCTGTCCACCAGCCGAAACTCAGAGCTCCGAGCTCCGCCTGACTCCACCTCCGGCCACGGCGGGCAGCCACGCACCATGGCGCCAACGGTGGAGATCAGGAATCTCACCTTCACCTACCCGGGAATCGACGGCAAGCCGCCGCCCGGAGCACCGCCCCTCATCGAGGACGTCTGCTTCTCCCTCGAAGCCGGTCAGCGCTGCCTTCTCGTCGGCTCCAACGGCGCAGGTAGCTCTTGGTCCCTCTGAAACCGCCCCTCTCTCCCGCGTCGGTTCGTCTCGTTTCTGCCGTCCTGTTTGCGGGCTTTGATTTGGGTGGGTGTGGGGGGCAGGTAAGACAACGATACTGAAGATACTAGGCGGGAAGCACATGGTGGATCCGAGCATGGTTCGGGTCCTGGGGAGGTCGGCCTTCCACGACACGGCGCTTACCTCCTCCGGAGACCTCTGCTACCTTGGCGGCGAGGTGAGCATACAATTTAAGAATTTCATTCCTCGTCCGTTGTGCAATTGTTTTGCTTTTTCGAGACTGTGTTGTGCAATTGTGAGGCTAGACATTGGCCAAGGCGTGCGCGAACTTTGCCAATAACCCTTCTTCCGATGAATTTAATTTTGTAAATTTCCTCGAATGGACGCAGTGGAGGCGCGATGTTGCCTTTGCGGGCTACCAGGTGAATATACAGATGGACATTTCGGCAGAGAAGATGCTATTTGGTGTCACTGGCGTTGATCCTCAGAGAAGAGATGAGCTTATCAAGGCAAGTTCACCCCAAAATTACCAATACGAATTTATCTGCAAATCACATTTTCCCTGGGGAACTTGTCAAATTTAATGACACCATGTCCACAGAACTGAAGTTTGCTATTTGAGCTTGTTTGCTTTCATGCATCAATATTCTATACTGGTTACTTATTTGTGGATTATGTGGAAATGGGTATGTTCCATACATGAGGACTTGAATTATCTGTTGCCTGAACTAGTGCTTCCGCAACAATACTCTAGCCACTTACAGGCAATGGCATATGGAGTATTTAGCTAGCTATATATTAAAGAACATTCCAAGTGCCTGACAATTCAGTTAAAGCATGTGCCTTGAGGTACTATATGACTGTTATCCTACAAAGATTGTAGTGTGCAATAGAGCTAATCATCACCAGTTCACCAGGCTCAGTAAGCTAGACTCTGTCTCTGTGATTGAAAGGGTGTTCAGAAAAGATTAAAATTCAAGATGTGAAACCTGTAGGTGTACTAGCTTCTAGCGAATGGCTCGCCGGTGTCGTACATATCCATACACCATGCCTGTAAAAATAATAAGATAACCAGGACTTCCACTCAAAAAATAAATCCAATCCACCCGGTTGGGACTATGTGGCGCCCCTGAACCTTGTGTAATGGTATGCTGGTATAAGAATACCTTTGAGGAGGAACACCAATTGTTTGGAAGAGCCTTTCGAGATGTAAAAGAACAGGTCTGCAACTTCGAATTTGCAGATAGAACAACAAGAAGAGATTAAAAAAATCAAGTATGCGTGTTATGTTTCTCGGGGAAAGTACTTGTGTTACTCTACCCATGTAAATCATTGATCTATAAATTAGGAACTAGGACATAGCATTTTGAATGCTGGTCGTATGATCTATAAATTAGGAGCTAGGACATAATATTCTTAGAGCAACACCAAGGGCACTCCTCAAACCTCCCCCATATGTCCAGGCGAACAGTCCGGACACAGAAGCACCCTCCCAAAGGACCTCCCCGAACCTGCCCCGTATGTACGGACTGCCCGGACCTCGCCAGACCAAGCCCATATATGGGGAGGAAATGGGGCTGTCCGGACATGTCCGCCATGCCCGGCCTACCCCAGACGCATATGTCCAAACAACTTGGGGATAAATTGGGGTTGGGGAACACCGCTGGAGGGGAAGACAAAGTCCGGACGTTTCTGCGGACAAATGGGGTGCCAAATTTTAGGTTTGCCCTTGGAGATGCTCTTACACTTAAATTATGTAAGCAACTAGGGCATAACATTTCGTTTGTTTGTCCTAATCATAAACCATTACACTTACTCTCATGTCCTACATTATTAAACTTTTCATGTTGCAGATTTTGGATGTTGACCTTACCTGGCGGATGCACAAGGCATCAGATGGTCAGAGGAGAAGAGTCCAGATTTGCATGGGACTTCTCAAGCCATTCAAGGTTTGTTTTGCCTTGCTTTGTCGCCAAAAGGATCAATCAAGTTCTCAACTTTGTGTGCACACAACAAGATTTTCATAAGAAAGTAAAAATGCAATGCAGGTTCTTCTTCTTGATGAGATAACAGTTGATCTTGATGTGTTGGCAAGAGCAAATCTGTTGACATATCTAAAGAAGGAATGTGCGGAACAAGGTGCAACAATTATCTATGCCACACATATCTTCGATGGCCTGGATGACTGGCCAACTCACATTGTGGGTTCCCTCACTCATACTTTACAAGATCATGGAATTCATGCAAACTATTAACACTTATTGGCGCCATTCGATTTCAGGTCTATGTTGCTCATGGGAAGTTGCAACTAGCGCTGCCATTAGAAAAGGTGAAAGAAATGAGCCAGTTATCGCTCATGGTAAGTGGCATCAATGTGAACAAAAATATGCTTTAATAAGCACATCAAGAATGTTCATCAGATTTTGGTCCATTTGCATTTCAGAGAACAGTAGAGCGCTGGCTGAGGAAAGAGAGGGACGAAGACAGGAGGAAGAGAAAGGAACGGAAGGAGAAAGGCCTCCCGGCATTCGACAAGGTCATTGAGGGGAGCAGAGTAGTGAACAACGGGTGGGCAGCAGGAAGGCTCACTTCGACGATAGCCGGGGAAGAGAACTTTTCTCTCAGTTCAAACAGCGTTCTTCGGTAGTAATCCCACACTGCACTTTGGTTCTTGAGATGATGAATAACAGTCCGATAGCACCACACTCGAGGGATTTTGGCGGTAACAGCAACATTCTTGCACAAAAGGAACAGAAAATTTGACAAATCATGCACGCCTGCTGCATGTGTACGACGATGTACTCTGAATCTATGGTACTGGGAGTCAATTATTATTGTTTGATTTTTTTTCTGCATATATTATGTCTATTTTGGTCAGTTGACTTGACATACCTTCGCCTAGCTAAAATTCAAAATATTCTCGGTGAAATAGGAAAGGAAGGACCATTGGAAAGGCCCAGTAGGGTTGGCCTATTAGTTCTCCTTAATTTGCAGCCTAAGGGCAGCATCTCCAACGCATACTTCACCTCAAAAAAAAAAAAAACTCCAATGCTGACCTCAAACCGTCCGAACTGAGTTGTCCGCATGCAGTTTGCCATCCAACGCAGT